TTCAGATGCCTCTTTTTTCGATCTGCACATTGCTGCATTAGCAGAAGAATTAGCAAACCTCAGTTCACAGATTTGAAACATCAGACTCATACATATGATTACAAAGTATGATTTTCTCTGACTGAACCGAGGCCAAACCATGCTAGAAAACACCCCAAAGGAATTAGAGGTAAAGTTAAGCTGTGCACAGATGCTTTCCATAGGAAGATGAGTTACTCTACCATAAAAAGGAAGCCAGAACAACCAAGGACTTTTAGACTTATAGAAGCATTTTGAGCTCTAGTAAGAGCAGTTTTTTCAAACTTCTGTAGCTGGAGGGGAGGTCTACGCTAAACCAGCATCCTGCCCACAACAGGCTGAATATTAATCTATTCCACACAATACAGCACATGGCTTGTCTCTACCCTTTTTATACCTTATGTGTGTTGCAGGAGCCGGTGGTTTTCCCTTCCTTTCTTAAATTTCTCTTCTCTCCTTGTCTTTGAGCAGCACATCCTCCTCGGTAAACAAACATGCCTCTAATCCATCTAAGAATGTTCTCTTCACCACAGGACGTCCATCTTTGTGGGCCAGATTTCAAGATCTGCCAAGACCATTTCACTTTCTCTCTTGTCTTCCAGGGACCAGCTGGGGTCACAAGCTCCTCAAGAGAGGAATTTCCAACTTCATGCCAAGTCTCTGGTCAAAAAAGGGCCAGGTGTGTTTGTCTGAGCTGATGCCAGATGCATAGACACAGCGTAACACAGCATTAATTCCTACACTTTAAGCAAGCCCGTTAGATGATCTGTGCAGAGGAGAAAAGATAATCCCATTTACCATAATCTCTTTGACACAATATAAAGGATGAAGGTTAGTGGAAAAAACTATAAACGGAGGACATCAAAAATCATACCCTAAATTCCACAGATTAGAATAGAAGATAAAATTGCTGTCATATTTTCTCATGTAACCCTGCATGTGACAGCATGTATGCCCTCTTACATCTTGGTTTAGAGAGAATCCCTTTGCGGTGGCTGAGTGCTTATGCAGGCTGAGATGTCCCAGTGGACCAAAGCATGAATTCATCGGACAGATATGAAAAGCTCATTGTGCCTTGTCTAGTGTCTGGGTTGTACAAAGTGAAAAACACACAGTAATGAATATAATGTAGCACGTCAGACTCCATTTTTTTTATAATCTTTTAGAAAAATCTGCACACATCTTTCTTTTCTGGTGGCAGTTTATTGCTACAATATAATACAAGAAAGTGATACAGCTTTGGAAGATTTGGAAGTACTTGGAAGATTTTATCTCTGGTGTCCCACAATCTCTAGTCTAAGACACTGAACCCCACATGGCCTCTGATCACTTTAATTTTTGTTCGGAAAACACACATTTTTGTGTTGGTAAAGAAACGTAGTTAGTAACATTATATCGACTTAGAAGTGCTGAATCTGTGGGCAGACAAATTACATTCCCTTACCTTTTAGAAGACTGTCCCTTGGATATTTGAGGAACAACAAAAACGACAGATGATCAACTATAAATCAACCTACAGTCTTTCTTTGGAGATCAAATAAGCATGAGATGCGTCCTAAAAGCATCCTTCAATAGTGAGGATCATAACGACAATATCATAAGCAGAGAAGACCTCGCGGATTCTCTCTCTATGTAACAGCGTGATAATATTCCACGCCTCAGTAGGACTGAAACTAGCACATATCACACAGCAGAACGATACCTTCCAGCAAAAATAAAGCACAGCCAGGCAGATACATGTATTTCCCAGTTCTCTCTCTCTCTTGTAAAATATTTTGATAATCTTACTTCAAGATAAAAAGGGACTCGATGCCATGAAAAACAAAACTGAACATAAAACACACTATGTACTGAAGCTAAGGACCAACAAGACTGAACTAGTTCTACAAACTTTCAGCTCCTTGAAAGAACAATAAATAATTTTTTACTAAAACCCCAGCCTTTGCATTTTCCTATCAGTGGAGGTGCCTGAAAGCTTTAGCAGGACAATCTGAAAATAAACTACAATATGAGTCCTTGCTTAAAAAGCCACCATACCTCAGTCATTTAAGGGGATCTAAAATGCAAATTACAAACATCAATAATCAGTAAAAGCAAAGATTGGACAGGGAGGAAGGCAATTCATACCCCAGAGTAATCCCCTCCAGCTTGTTATTTATAAAAAGGGAACTTTTATTTCCCTCTGTCTCTTCTACTTGCATGATTCACAGGGACGCCCTCCTAAGTGAAAGCTTTACTGAATTATTGATGGAGGGCTATAAATAAGTCATCACGTTGGGGCTAGCTTTAACCCGTTGTCCGACAGCATGAGCGAGTTGGTAAAAAGCCAACTGGGAAAGGAGCAACCTTTCCATTAGCAAAAATAACAGTTATGACTCGTTAATAAAGCCTGCTGTGAGGGCAGGTGAGGGTGGGGTCAGATTTGTGTGTGCGTGTGAGTGTGTGACTGAGAGAGACAAAAGCATGTGCACATTTTTCAGCAAGATGGTTTTTGTTTGCTGCATTGCAGCCTTCAGATGTACTGCAGTTTTAGTGTTTTTCCTAAATATTCAAACTGTTTACAAATGAAATCAGTCATAAACCCAAAGCTGGTATCTGATTGGAAATAACAAGGAGAAATCTTTTCCCAAGTTAAACCTCAGAGTATAGCTAATGGAACAAACTGAATCCACGGTAAGATGTTGCCACACATCAAAACAATATTTGCAACCCAAAAAGTACGTTTTTTTTTCAGGGAGATGCTTTGCTGCCCTTTAAAATCCATAACAGAAAACGGTCGCGTCATTTCAGAGCAACGCATCTCAAAGAGTCCAAAATACCAGAGAGCACCACCCCACTCTATATTCTAATCGAGTCATTTTCCCATGTGTGAATATTAGAAGCTCTCCGACTTAGTAATGATATCAGGAAGCTGCATGATTGTCAAAGCTTTCACACATGGTTAACCGTTACCAGTCTTGTGGGTGTCAGATCACATTTTACGCGCATTGGTTACTTTGCTTTTTCAGACCTGCTTGACATGTCCACTCACTGTCTGACTTCATATGTCTAGATGTGCACTGAGGTCTGTGCACTTGCTGTGCTGTGCCAGGTGCAGAACAGAACAGTTGGCCTGAGGGGGAGTCATAAACCAGAAAGCACCACCCTTTTCATAATTGCTCAGCATCCGTTTCTGGGGTTAGAATATGTCAGACATTACTGGGTATATTATGGCGTATCCTTAAGGGCTGTGTCTTTGTGGATGTTAAGTGAAGGAGAGAATATTGAGATTTTTAGCAGATGAAACCAAAGATAAAGTTGGTGAACTGCTGGTGATGATGCAATCTATTATGCAAGCTAAAAAGCAAAAATATATATATTTTTTCCAAATGCAGTGATGCTAAACTACAAACAATAGAATGCAAAAAAAGTACCACAAACACTCATTCAGCGTGACTAAATACACAAAAATGTAGCCAACTAAGTCAGATTTAAAGGAAGGTTTTTCTAATAACCTCCACTTTGTCTAGAAACCAGAACTTTCTTTGCTAAACTAAGCCAGAGGGAGAGTGTGTAGAGTAATGAATTAATCTGGAATTACACAAAGTTGAGATTCGCTTATGTCCTTGGGTGAGAAAACCAAAACTTGGTTAATTAGAGAAAGTTGATGATGGTCTAAATGTTTCTGAAAGGACCGAAAGCTTAACTTAGCTGTGATTTCTGAGCCTCTCTAGAGTCTTTTGTCATGCAGAATTCAATTATCCTCGCTTCAATACAAGAATTCTTTGAAGAAAATCACCAGAGCAAGAACTTCTACACACCGTGGATCAGGGAGAGTATGCTGTGAACAATATTAATTACTGCAAAAAAAAATCCCTGTCATCGTCAGCTGCCATGTTTGTCCTACATGTAATATGTGTTTTGCTTTACGGTCTGTTTACCAACTAACCAACCTGTAAGTTGATGCAATCAAATTGCATTTACATAAACTTGCCTGTAACTCTTTTTTTTCATAATACTCTGTTTTTTAGTGAACAGAAAAGATGATAAATAACAAAAGTGATTTATTTCGTAAAGTCAGTTACAGTATATTAAATCTAGCCATGCGATTACGATAATAATATTCCACTGTCACTCAGTCTTTTCTAAATAGACACTAAAATCTAAAACAAACACTTATATACACAAAGTGTACATTTATAGACACACAGACAATAAGTTAATACAATGGATAAAATAACAATGAACTGAATACATGAACTGTGATAGACACGACCTGTCCAGGGTGCACCGCATCCCACTCAACCAATCTTGTCTGGGACGGGCTCCAGCCCCCACAACCCTACTAGGAACCAGCAGTACAGATAATAGATGGATGAATGAATACATTAATGATATATCCTGTTGTTTAGAAGCTGTATGTAATTAGATTAGTTTCTAGGTTTGTAAATCTTAAGAACCTAAATCTTTAACAGCTTGTGTCTCAGAATACAGTAGATGAATTATAAATATGAAGAAAAAGGCAATCTGAATGTTTTTATTAACAGTCAGTCACTACTTCTGACTGAGTGCTGACAGCATTTTAGTGATGCACTGCTGCCATCCAGTGGTCGCACATAGTCAGTGCCATAACCTGCTAACTGAAATATGGAACACATCCAGAAATTGTCTGAATGCAAACACAGCGTCCTTAAAACTGGTCATTAGAACCCTTTTTAAAAGGCTGGTATCTGATACCTGACAGGCTGCGAGGTCGGGCTTCTGCAAGATCCGAAATGGCGCCAGTAGTCACAGTCTTCTTCATTCGGGAGCCAGATGCAGCAGCTCCCAGAACAGGTTTAGTCAGGGCATCATCACTGCTGGCTCTTTTCAGCTGGAAACACAACTGCTGTCAGTGCCTATTACCTACATCTGGTAATAGTTTTTCACTGTTTTAGCCCAACTAAGTGTCAAAGGTGGCACCGTGCTGGACAGTGGTCATCGACAGAGCGCCCGTCACTCACCCTGCTGAGGCGCTGCTCTGACGGCAACATGTTGGAGGATCTGGAGGTTTTCATGGCTGTGGAGGAAGAGGACGATGAAGTCACAGAGGTCTGCCTCGCCCGCTCCTGGTGTCCTGGCTTGGGCAGCCCCACCTTAGTGGCGCCCGCTTTCAGCATTGCTGCGTTTTTTTCCAAATTTCACCTGAGAAATATAGAGAGCACAAGTCATCAGACGGATCATTTCACTTAAAAAATGTTCATTTCTCTTTAAATGGCTTTAGTGTGTAAAAGCAGATGTTTTTTTTACTAAATAAGAGCTCACCACAGTCCTGAGAACCTACAAATAAGTGCTCAGGACTGTCTTACTAAAGGCTCTTTTATCTAACCACTCTAACTCACTAGGATGAGGCACTGAAGACGGAAAAATTGTTATGCCATAGCCAACTTGTGTGAACACTGGGTTTTGCCCCTTATCACCAAAGTTGCCTAAAACCTAAAGGAAGCACATTTGCTTCAGGTAAATTAATCTATACAGCATTAGCACTGTCTAGTGGCATTTATAGCTGTTCCAAAACACACAAATAATGAGCCACTGGGAGGTCAGCTCAGGTTGTGCCAGTAGCAACACCATTGAACTACTTCCTGCTCAAGGGAGGAGAAAGAACAAAGTTTCTTATCTAATTTGCTCAACCCAGTGGCTCTGACCAACCCTTAACAGTATCTCCACACATCTAGAGGGAGGTATGCAGATCCAGCCCTGCCTGACATCCCTCTATAATGAATATGGCTAAAAAGCAGCGAGCATAATGTAGGGTTTGTTTTTCCAGCTCAAACAGGATGTGGTCAGTGAGACTGTTAAAGGCTTACATTTGATGTCCAGAGGGAAAAACACTCGTCTTGACAAAAAGTAGCTAAGGGGGAACAGAAGGAGGTAGCAGTGCACTTAACCCAGGACAGTGCCTGCTGGTAAAGAGCTCTGTAGCTCCCACAGGACAAGCTAACCCATTGATCCCAACGACGGCAACGTGATCTCCTGCATCCAAGAGACACTGGGCCGTTAAAGAGGATCCCTTCTAGTCTGCAGTCACTATCTTGAAACATGAGGTCTAGTTATTACCTAGTTTAGGAATCATTTCCTAAATGACCCTGAGGAGTGTATCCTGCCAATGGGAACACTATAAATATAAGGAATAACTGCTGGCTTAATGCTGGAGCCAGATGGCTGTCGTAGTCAGCACCTTAAAGCTGATTATGAACTGTAACTACGAGATGTAATTACTAATCTGTATTTCTGCAGCAGTGACTGTTGCAACCAGGAAATTGCTGCTCATTTCACACTTCGCTTCTCTCAGAGAAGACTAAGTCCTTAGGATGGATCTGATTAGGAGCACGTTGCATGTCTGTTTGAGGGCATGTGTTTCACTTCTGGCCCATCATATGATACTTTAGGCCTCTCTAGGCAATATCCTGTGACTAACTGCTGCCTGGCCAATGTGCTAACATCTTGACTGTGATGTCTTACCTCGGATCATTTTACATGGAACAACTCACTACCCAGTACAAGTTTTATGCTCCTTTCAACTAGCTGTGATCTCAGAGTAGGCAAAAAGAGCAAGTGAGGAGAAAGTGAAAGTCTGACATAAATAAAGAACAACCCAACATCTTATTGAAATAAATCAGGCCGAGTTTGACGTAAAAAGAGCATTTTGGGTGAACCTTCCATGGCTACTGCAGAGCTAAACTCTGCAAATACGACCTCACCATGTCCCTCTGCAGAGATGTGATTCTCAAGAGCCAAAACTGTGCCCTAGATATTTCCAAATGACCTAGTTGTGAAGCCTGAATGTCTTTGAGAGAGAGACAGCCAGGCTACATCTACATCCACAGGCCCAAAGTTTAAACAGAGTGTGACTTAGACTTAGGAAACTGCTGTAAAAGTTTGTAGAATCTAAAAGAAACACACCTGCGATGAAGACATGGCGATGTAGACCTGACCTAAATGAAAACGCAAACATTACAAAATGTGGAGCATAATGCCTGGCTCAGTGATCAGTAATATATAGACATTTGCCTTAAATGCATCCCAAAATAGAGGGATGAACGTTAGGGCTGAATATGGGACAGAACGGTGGAGGAGACCGTTGCTGCTGGTGTGAAACTGCTAAGAGGAGATAAGGAAAGGGCACCAGAATCCAGACCAACTGACAGGGGTCATCATTTGAGGCCCAGACGACACCACTTTAAAACACCAGAATCCAGACCAACTGACAGGGGTCATCATTTGAGGCCCAGACGACACCACTTTAAAACACTCACATATAAACACTGACCCACAATATCAATGGGACACCAAATTAGATCTGGTTGAGATACAAAAAATGCAAACAAATTAGATTTTTCAAAACACAATACGACACTTAATCTAAATTGGTAATTTGAGTTTCCTCTTGGCACTGGTTCATATTTTACCCATTCAAATACCAATGCAAAACACAACTAGCTATTGGTATAGTAATTAAAGACGTATTACCGACAGCACGTTCCACTGCAAACATCAGCATGCAGGCATCTGCATTTACACAGCTATTGAGTTTATTTAACAGATGCACAGGAAATAGCTTCCTACATGTTGGCCCGCAGAGCTTGCCACAACCAAAAATAAGAGCGAGAAATCAGGTTACAAATCATGTACTGATTAAAGGTCAAGATCGTGTGTCAGGTCAGAAGCATCGAACTGTATGAGTGTAACAATAAACAGCCTCTCAGTCGCCTTTGTAACCATTAGAAGAAAAAAACTTTGATGTATTTATTGCAAGGTTCACGAATGTTGTTTGTTGGCTAAAATCATATTTTTTAAACATTATATTACCAGAGTAAGGTACTACACGGATAAGGAGAAAAAAAGCTCTGTAGCTCTTCGTTCAAAGATTTCAGGACCATCATGACATGGATATGCCTGCTGCAAAGGCACTGATGCAACTCATAAGCATCCGCTGTGTTCGTAACCACAAGGACGACGTCTAAAAATAAACAGATATGTTTGAGATGTTGGCTGAAAGGGACTCTGCATCATCACTCCCTCTTGAATAGTTCGCTGTCAGGCTCTGTGGCAAGCAGCAATATAAGAAGCTGGACCAAACTTATTTTAAAACGTAAGAATAACAAGAACCTAAACGGGGAAGCCTTGGGTGAGCCACGGTTGTAAAACCCAGTGTAAATGCTACCCCTCCAAACATTATGGATTGTGAAGTTTCACCCAGCTTCTCATTTAGGAAAAGCAGGGGGGGAAGCTGAAACCTGAGAGAAATAGCACCGGCCGATGTTTGCAGACAAAACTCCACAACTGCCTTCAGCTGCTCTTTTGTCAGACTTCCATTTTGCAACCCAGCGTCAATCATGGTCATTAGGAATAAAATTGTGACCAAATTGTCATCCTGTATGTGAGAAAAATACTATCTGAGGATTTGGCAACACATCCTAAAATGATCTGAGGTCAAAGTGCTCATGAACAAACAAAAAGAGAGAGAGAGTTCTGCAGTGTACTCACGTTTCTGCTCTCACAGAAAGCCTGAAGACATTTGCCTCAAGATGAAAAGGTGGGTCTGAACATTGTGTGAGGAAAATATTGTGCTCGATGCTGATAGCTAAGATGGTCTGAAGGTGAAAACGGAGAGTTCAGGACCAACGGCAGCTTTCACGCTGCAGTCAGGATGAGGAAGTAGAACAAGCAGCCAGCTCTGTGCTGCTGCCAGTCACACTCGTCATAGAAAGGGGAAGAGAATCAAACAGCCTCAGCCGAAAGGCATGTTTTTCTCCTCTCAGGTTTTCAAGGGTTTTCCATGATTGTGATGTGCACAAATCACAGACGGGAGAAGGGGAGCAGAGGGAGGGACACATCTAAAAAACGTGACTTGGAAATAGCCGAGGTCCATGGAATCTGAATAATGGTAATAGTTTTAATAAGAGTTATCCAAAAGTTTAAAGCCTTTTCCCCCTTACCGTTTGACGTAGCCTGGGATCGCGTGTAGGAGTTTGTGTGGGGAACAAAAGTTCTATTGTGTTCTTAAATTAAACCAGTGCTGCCTCTGTGAAATTTGTGGGGAATGCTTGTGACTCACGTCTTTGAAATAAATTCTGAACAATTAGTTTAAATAATCTTTCGATGAGAGAGTTTTGACTCCTTTATTTCTAAATAATTTATTGGTGGTGTGGGCTCAAACAGCAGCTACCAACTCTGACAAAGCCACTCTGTGTCTCAGATAAGCTTTAAAGGGCGGCTGGTTTGTGGACGGGTTGGCAGTCAGAATTTCGTGCTCTCCCATTCTGGTCTCATTTTGATCCCACAACATACATCATGCCAGGGCTCCAGAGCATGTGGGCAGAAAGTGTGCAGCATTCTGGGCCTGGATTAAACAGCCTTCAAGTTTGTGGCAAGTGGTAAACGGAGCAACTTGGTGCGACCGCGCCCCTCCACAGCCACAGAAACTGTGTTTTAAAATGGAGCCGCAAAGGACTGAGTCAGAGGGATCAAACAGTTGCTCTGCAGGAAACACATAGGGATTTTCTGTGTGATTTGCCGTGGGGAATTTTCTTTCAAAACGTCGCAGCTTATTGAAATTGTGGCGAAACACAGGGCTATTACTGTCAGCAGCCACAGTGCTATTACCTCACAAAATGTCGTGTCTTATCACCATACCAGTCTAAGAACTAGATCCTCTTCCGTGTAGATATAGCTGACAATGCTAACTTCGTCCTTTATTCCCGCGTGACTTTTACTGCAGCCTGAACCCACAAGGCTGGTGGCGGTAAAACCTAAAAAATACTCATATGTACAAGCCAACAACTCAATTTTCTGTTTCCTGCATTATTGATTAGGATTGGTTCTCTGAGTCTATCGAATATTATATCAATTTTTGGAAATCCATCTAATGGCTTTTCTCTCAAATAATTATTTCCCTTCCTAATTTGTTACTTGTGGGATTTTCTGGCCAAAGTCAGTTGGCCTCATTCTCTAGGGAGCATGAATTTCTGTATAATGTTCTACATAAAGTACATCAGCATGATCCATTTACTAACTGACTGCCATCCTTAGAACAGGTACGAACAATAATGTTGGGGGGACAAAATCATCCTGACTTGTGCATTTTACATATTATTAAAAAAACAATTGGTCATCA